ACAGGCTGTCCTGAGATTCCAGAGTTGTCATCCCAAAAAATTTAATCTGTTTAGGCTTTTCTCCTCACTGTGTTACTTTCAACAGAATGTTCATTGCAATGCACATCAAAATAACCGTCTGCATTTTCACTGTACTTCAGTTAGTTGTGTGCATGTCATCAGAGCTGGATTGATCGCATAGTCCTGTTGGACACTCCTGGCAGGCAATGAATCCACCAGCCAGATGAGTAGGGTCAAGTCAGTTGCGTTGTAAGAACTTTGTTTGCTTCCAGTGCTGTCATCAATAGCCAAACATGGTTGGTAACGTATTGCTAAAATCTCATCCCATTCACTTCCATTCTTGGGATGACATACCAAAGAGTAAAAAAAGGCACAAAAATAGTGCCAAGGAGCAACACTATGGGGTTTTGAAGAGTTGGCTTAAAAAAATTATAAGACATCTCTGAGTTCAGTGCAACAGCCATTTTACAGATGAATTATCTGAGAATGAGTAATAGTAAGATATATAGAAAACCATAGCCAGTTTTTAACAAGGATGTTCTTACTATATTAAAAGATCATGGAAGGACTTTGCTAATTATTAAGGCTGAAATTAGCCCTTGTTATACATTAGAAAAATACCAAAATAATGCCAAATAAAATGATAAGGCTGCCATCAACTGCTCTGAAGAATTATTTCTCATATCCTTATTGTATGGATGTCTTTCTGATTACTGAACATTAAAGATAATTTATAGAGACTATTCCTTAGTCTTTCCTGAGAGGGAAGAATGATTATTCCATCTGTACAGCCAGTTGACTGACAGCCACTAAGCGCAATATACAAGATGACTGATTGATTGATCACACAGATTTCTAACCTATACAAGTACACTATTTTTAAGGGGGAGTCACCTAAATTGGTTCTTAAGCATTCATTATGGACTAAAATATAAACCATAGGATGTCAGAGGCATGTGAGATTGGCACATAGATCAAATGGCAAAAACTATTAAATAAAAGTAAATATGTGTATTTATAGGAACTATATCTGTAAATAGATTACAGTTTGGGTTGCTACAACTAGGGCATGCATAAGAAAGAGTGCTCACACTAAGAGAGGAAAGAAGTGACCTCATCCTGGTAAAAGTAAATATGTGTATTTATATGAACTATATCTGCAAATAGATACAGTTTGGATTGCTACAACTAGGGCATGCCTAGGAAAGAATGCTCACGCTAAGAGAGGAAAGAAGTGACCTCATCCTGAAAATAAGAGCGGAAATTTTGCAAAACAAATACCAAACTCCATATTGCAAGTAACAGTGTTAGTGTTCAGGACACACAATTCAGGTAGTCTTTTGCATCTTTGAAATCAGACAGTAACTTGTCATTAGAGTGGAAGCAGTGTTAGTGTTCAGGACACACAATTTAGGTAGTCTTTTGCATCTTTGAAATCAGACTTAGAACAGAAGCAGGTGTTATAGATAATATTCCATAACTGTCAGAAGTGTGTAAGTGTACAGCAAGATATTTTCTCACCTCCTATAATTTGCAAATCAGCTTGCTTTGATCCAAATCCTCTTGATTTAACATTATTAAAATAAAAGTAGGATGCTGTCATCATCCCACATCATTACTCTTTAATTTACCTGAACTGAAAACGACCTATCCCACCCCTCCTTAAGGTTCCAGGGCTTCCTTGGGCTCCCTTTCAACCCAAGTAAGGCTTTGGGAGCCTCAGGTTGGGGAGGGAAGCTTTAATATCGTTTAACATCCCTGTCCCAAGGCTCCCAAAGTCTTCCCCAGGTTGAAAGGGAGCTCTAGAGAGCTTTGAAGTCTAGGGGAGGGGGAGGAAGCTTTCAATTCAGTTCAGTTCAATTAAATATTGTGGGATCCTGACATCATCCTACTTGTATAGTGTAAAATTGCACAGTAGGATTTAAGCCACTCTTTTGTGATTGCCGTTCAAGATTTAAGCACAGGAAGACTTTTCATGCTCCCTTCTGAAACAACAAACTCTGCCTGAATCACATCTCACCAACACTAACTAGACCTAATCCTAGGTTATCTATAAGCTCTGTTTGTGCACTTGCAAAGGAAGAACATGCTAATGGCCTGAAGTCAAATCACAAAACAAAGTAAGCTTAATGGCTAATTACTGGACATGACAACATATCCTACTGCCAAAATCACCCACAATCAATTAAAGAAGCCCCCATTCCAGTGACAGCTTGTCTATAACATACATGGTCCTGTCTGTGTCTACCACTACTGCCCTCATAGGGAAACAGGTTTTTGTCCAGATTTGGTCATACTATATATCCAACCTGGGATTCTAATTTTGCTGGCTTGTACAATGCAATGCACAGAAATCAATCCAGATGTCTTCAGTAAAAAGTAACAACTAGTGCAGTGACTAAGATGTGTGAAACATGGCAAATTCAGTTATCTGAAATGGATCCAGTGATCTACAGATCATGACTTTGACCAAATGAAAGCATGGCAGTATCAAAGGTAATTTTTAGGTGGGCCACATTTACACAATTTTTCTCCAGATGCCTTTAATACAGTTAAGATACTCAATGTGGTTATTTCCAATATATACCTGACTTGAATCTTTTATAATAGCCACTTACTAATCGTCTCTTTTATTCATTCACTGAGCTGATGTATTTGAATTGGGAAAAAGAGATAAAAAGCAAAGAACTGGATGTATCATCTTTTTTAACAGTCAAAGAAATGGTATGTGTTAAATCCAGGGGATGCAAAAGAAAGCAGCAAGTAAATCCATTGAGTAAACTCATTGAAATGTATGGGTCTTATTACTAACAAGCAACATAGATACCATTGATTTCAACTGGGAGTTTAGATGGGGTTAATATTGGATTTAGTCCAAAACTGATTATTTAGCCCATTTGATTTTCAGTAATTCGTCAAATGATTTTTTCCAGGGAAAAAGTATTAAAATACATTCCCATCAGGCTACTGTTCAAATCCAAGTTACTGGCCCTAACCATCCGCCCCCCAACGTAGCATCAATTAGTTAATGCTTTGTTACTGGAAAGCCTTTTCCATGTGCAGTGCTTTCTTTGACATAGTAAAGGCACTTGACTTCTAGCACTTCTTCTCACCATTGGTGTTCAAAAGAGGAAAAGCAAGCAGCTGCAATAATATATTTTCAATAACATGCCTTAGTACAAGGCTCTAGCATTTAATATTGCATGCCAACTCAAACCATCTGTGAAAATAACTAGTGCCCTGACTTCCTGCTAAGGACACCTTTTGTCTGAATTGTAAGCATGACTATGACTAGAAACATGTATAAATGTGATAACCCTTAAGAAGACCATGTATGGATTTCAGGACAGTATGTTTCTAGGCAAGGCAAAGGGAGCAATCCTACCTTGCTATGCTACTCTTGTTAAGAGCAAGGAACTTTGGCATTCCAGATTCTATTGACTTCAGTTCCCAGAAGCTCCACTCAGCAGGGATATAGTAGAGGTTTGCAGGTAGTTAAAATTGTCTGAAAAGCCAAAGGTTTGTTCTAGTGGATTTGCACATAGGTTACTATCATATAATCCAAACAATAAATATTTACTGGAGATTAAAATAAATGCAAAAGCAGACTAGATAGCTTGGTGGTTTAGGTATCTGGCTGTGGAGACAGAAGTTGGGATTTCAATTCTCCACTGTGTAATCAGGGAGAAGAGCCAGCCTGTGTGGCCTTGGGCAAGATGCACAGTCCTAGGATGCCCTCAGAAGAAGGGAATGGTAACCACTTCATTCTCTACCTGAAAACTCTTGAGAAGGGTTACCATAAGTTAGAATTGACCTGACAGCAAATGATTATTGTATTATTAAAATAAATGCAGTGGACCTCTGTATTTCTGCTTTATTCTTTTGAGCTACTTATGTCTGGGTGGAAAATTGTGTACTGTACTCTTAAAGTAAAGTGTCTCTTTTTTTAACAAAACAAAACACTGGAAGATTTAAGTAACAAGTCTCTTAACTGGGACAAAGACGGGAAACACATATGGCTACAGAGTCTGAGAAAGCTAAGTCTAATCAATGGTTCGGGAAAGTGAATGTTACTGTGTCTAAATAATGTTAGTGCAGGTGTGTTGTCTGGTATCTTACTCTTCCTCAGCATCAGAGCAGTGAAAACTGTCTCCATGCAAAGGTTGCCATCTTGTGGAACATTCACACATTACAAAAAGTGCTACTGTCAAATAAAATATTTATACAAGAATAGGTAATACCTTTACAGATCACTTTAAAAATCATCTTACAGTACACAGGTTTTTGTGGATCAAACATTACTTATTGGGCTTGTACCAGTGTGAAGTATTTAAAAGTCCAAAAGTTAATGGCAAAATGGATTACTCTTAGATGTAATGTCCAAGAGTTCCTGGCAGGCTGGATTTTGACAAGCACATTTTACTTAGTTATAAGTCAGGAGAGGCTGCAGGAAGCAGTGGTTGCTGTTTTAAGGTTACAGCTGAGGCAGCTGTGGATTGGACATCATACCCAAGTTTTGTTGAATTAAAGTTGACTTGGCCTTAGGTCGCTTTTCAAAAACTCTTCTTTCAGTGACCGGTACTGTCTTCCATTATTCTTTCATTCAAACGCCTTTGAAAGTTAATGGAGTTTTTGCAGTATTAAAAGCTAGTAGTAGATTCTCCTCTACTCAAAAAAACCTCAGTACAAATTAGTTCCCGTTATTAATGACTGAAATAAATTACTAGAACATCCACAGATTTTTGCAAAGGGCACGTCAGATCTGACTTCTGACCTCATAAAACCAATAGACAGAATAGTCACTTTGATTCTACTATAATTTTCACTGATACATAATTTCCCGACATTAAGGATTTAATCACCTCTTTCCCCATCTGCTGCTCCCTCGTTGCGCATACTGCTGATGGCTCAAAAGAGATCTTTTCTATCCATTAAAGTACATTAATGGGTATGTAATTAGGAAAAGATATCTGTTTTGAAGATGTTCAAGTATCGTACAAATGTCTTCCATTGAAAAAGATGCCTTTGACTATCAAAAATTATATAAGCAAGCAAAGTATGTTTACAGATGAGAATGCAGAATTGGTCGGCAACTGAATGAATGAAAAAGGTAGCTGCAGTGGTCAGTTCTAGCACAAAATGCACATGCTCAAGGTAAAAACCACCAAGCCAAAAGAGATCTTGATAATATTATGTGCAGTGTCAGGAGTGAGATAAACAGAATATTTAAACAGGAATAGCATCTTCAAGCTTGGTCACTTTTGCTAAGTTTTGTGGTTTGTGCCTCAATGAAAAACTTTGCAAAGGAATGTTATGTTGGGCTGAATTTTATCTAGGAGAGGCATGGGCAACTCTGGAAGTTATGGAAAGACAGTCTGCCTCCACCACCTCTGTACCCATCGCCACACCAACCCTACTGCTGAAATCAGAAATAGCTGGAAGTCTACTTGGAGGAGCTTTCAACATACTTTCTTTTTAAAAAGTGAAACAAGGCATGAACAGCTGTACACCTTTATTTAAGGTGCAGTTCATCTACCACCTCCAAAGCTGGACTGCAATTCGCCTACCACCTCCAAAACTGGACACAGCTTCCAGAGCATATGTTTTTCCAAGATGATGCAGAGGGGAAATGCATATAAAGTGAAGTAATTATTGTTTAAAACAAATAAACAGCTGGAATGGAGGTCAGCTTAAGAATAGAGCATGAAAGTTCAGTTGATCTCAATGGACAAAATGAATAATCTGCAAGAGCAGTTCAGTTCTGTTAGCAGGGTAGGGTCAATTCAAGGGCTATCAATCATGTTAGAAGCAAATTAGATGCATATTCGCCCTGTACTCTTGTACAGGCAATAGATGGCCTAACAATATCCTCCTCTTATCACATCTGATGCCTTCTGACATTCCTTCAACACACTTGATGCAAGCCTACTTTCTGTCTCTTGTAGTGGCTTACATCATCGTGATTATAAAGCATTGAGTTGGACCTATACTTAAAGCAGAGGCTTGTGGAATTGCAATCAGATTAGCACTTAAAGAACTGCTGCTTCGAGTAAGAAAATCTCTTCAGGCTACCACTGCAGGCCTAAGCGGGAACACACGAACATGCTCTATGAATAATAGTTACAAAGATACGGTCATTTGTTAATGGAATGTTCTGAAGTCATAAATCATGACTATCACATAAACTGGTTCTCGGAATGGCTACGTGGTCGGTCACTTTGGCACCAAAAATATTTTCACTTTCATACAATTGCAGTTCTATCATTAGGCAGTGAGCTGTCTGCCCCAGGCAGTAAATGCTAGCAGGCAGCAAGCTCTTCTTTTTGAACTACCTGTCTGTCTTCTTCTGCTAGAAGATGGGATTCTGTACACCACATGATTGACCTGGTCTCTGCATACTAATATGGTGCTCTGGTTGTAGTACACAGCATAATCACCAGGATTCAAGTAAAGTTCATCTACTGTCGTAGTCACATTCTGTACATGGACCTGGAAAAGGTTGCCCTCTTGCCCTTTAAACTCAGGTAGCAAACTATCTTGAGGTGGCTCTGTTTCACATACATGAGATCTTGCAATCCAGATGGACTCATCATAAAATTCTAGGCTTTGGGACATACAGCTACATAAGTCTCTAGCGTTGTCAGTAGCATTTTATATGACTCTTGTGATTTCTCTCCAAGGATTCTAGAACTTCAGCAGAATGGACACATGGATTTACTGAAGCATAAGTGGTGGCCCAAGAACGGCCAGTGTGACCTGTACTCCTCGGTGGACCCAAAATATAAAGGAGGAGCTTTGGATATAAAGAGCTTTGCGGGTGTATTTTGCATACTGGCAGCAGGGATTGTACTCTCCTGTTTAATTGCAATGTTGGAAACATGGTGGAATAAAAGAAAAGGCTCACGGGTTCCATCAAAAGAGGTATGAGATCCTTCCATTTCATCATAGCACTAGAGGTGAGAAGGAAAAATGTGCATTCTGAATTATTGTTATTTTTTTCTATAGCTCTCAAATCATCAAGATGTGAAAAAAAAATTGTCAGTCTCTGAACAAAATCAAGCCAGGAAATAGATATAATGCCAGAATCCTAACCCTAAATGTGCTTTTAATTGGTTTAATTGGAAAATGTTCTTTAATGTGGGGTCCAATTTTAATCTGTGGGGCAGCTAATTAAAGGTGCACTGCCTTATTTACCCCATGATACTTGGTCCTGGAATGCTTTTTCTAAGGGTTGAAAAAGAAAGTATTGATAGTGATTTGTCTTTTCATGAGTGGTAGCTTTCATTTGTTGAATTGTCAGTTGAATTACTTGTCCCAAACTTGAACAATCTCTCATGTTGTCATTTTTGTAGTATGCAAATTAATTTAAATGCAGTTGTCAAACAGTTGACTTGTTAAAGGGCGGACAGTGATTCAACCAAAATTTCTTTAATCATATGATAGCCCAATTTTAAACCTTCTCAGTTATGTGTGAACACAAAATGCTGTGTTAAATGAAACAGTGGATCAGATTGTCATCATGAGGTTCCTTGAAACTGTTAACATTATTTAGGGCACAATTCAGGAAATATCAACAGTGAAGGGATCCCATTCAGATGAGTGGCTTTGATGCTTTTTGGATTTTACCCTTAGACTTCATTTAATAACTCTGCTGCTTTTCTGACAACTGATTTTAAGACTTAAAATCTACAAGATCGAATGATTTTTTTTCATCACATGTATGCTCTAGAAGCAAACTCAGGGAGATTTTATTAACTTCAAACATGGACCAGGATCCAAAGAGCTATTCGGGGTGTGTTTTGGCTTCCTCAATGAGATTTGTTCCTTTATTCAAATTACTTTTCTCCCCTTGAATGGTAGACCCAAGTGCCATAGCACAAACCACCTTTGAAAATCCCTCCCTTTCAGAAGAAATTTTCAGTAAGGAAAGAGAGTGACTGTTGTAGAAGCACAAGCCCAACACCTCTTTGGACATGCAGAACTATTTGGGTGGTTCTTTGGTTCCAGGCCATTGTGTTTAATGTTGCAATAATTAAAAAAAAAAAAACACCTTTACAGCTTTAACCATTGCAAGAGACATGTCTCATTTGCGTTCATTTTCTTCATGCCATCTAAGGATCACTTCACACATTCCATGTTTAGGTGTACACCTCCACGAACTCAGATGTATATTTTAAAATGTTACTGCAATGAACAGCAACATTGGTGGGCACATGTATCATACAGATACATTATTTAGCAACTTATAATTGGCTGCTGAGAGTACATAAGGTGGCAAACTCAGCTTTGCTTCTGCATGTCAGAAATGGCCCCAATGAAGTGCCTACACAGGTGTTCCGCCCCGTCATGTGAGGTGGGGCAAGGGCCATGTACATAACCCCTTCCCTAACACCTCTGCATGCCTAGTTCCTTTATGGACATTTCCATACTTACTACTGAGGTGTGAAGGAGTTTGAAAAATTGCTTGGCCAACCATAACTTACATCTCCTGATTTTTTTTTTAAAGAGGAAAAGAGAGTGTATTCCTATTTACAAGGTAGAGCATTCAGCTTAATGCCCTTACTTACTAATACAATTGAATCCTTAGCACTTAATCTGTAAAGGTCTTTAAAGGACAACATATGTCCAGGGATGGGGAGGTTGTATCTTGAGTGCACACCCTGCAACCCTAAACACATTTGGCCCTTGTGTATAAATTAAAATTGTGATAAGCGTCCATTAGCTTTGCAAAGTTTCATCTGCTCATTTCACTCAAAGAGAGTGAGATGAACTTATTTTTAAAAAAACATCACCATCAAAATAATAAATATAAAACTAAGGTTTGGTTTGCTCAACACTAAAATGTTCCTGGCTTTTTTTAGTTATAATATCTTCATATTTTATGTCATTCTTTTTAGTCAGGTTTGCCATTCATCAAGACTAACACTATGTCTGCACATCAATCCAAAGTACTAATAAAAGGAGAGTTTCACACACTCCTGTTGTTCAGTTTGAGAGACTACTGTTTAGGGTGTGGGGACATGTACAAACTTCTCCCCTTTAATTTATTATTTACAGGATGTGGGGGGGAATGTTGAATATTTCCAATGAGGGGTGGAGTTGGGGCAAATAAAGTGTTTTGTTACTTCATATCATGATTTGTTGGCTTGAACGATGTCTTCACGTTCAAGTTCTCCTATGAAGCTTCATTAAAATTGGAGCTTCCGATGGAAACATGTGCTGAATATCCCGTCTATCCGAGGTGCAGGGTTCATTCAGTGCTCCATAACCTTAATGTTCATTTTAGCACACATGAAATCTATTGGCTCTTCCAGATTCTCGGACTGGAAGTTGTAAAGCCAACTCATCCAGGGGCTGTTGTGCTCCAGAATGCAAGCTGTTGCTTCTTTTTTTCCTTTTCCTTTTTCCTTTTTTGTACTGAAAGCAATTGCCTTATGGTTGTGAAGCTGAAATTCTAGTTGTGAACCAAAGTAACCCAATGCAGTCATGTCTGCTTGTGTCTGCAGACAGCCTTAAACAATAGCTCTGAGAGAAGTGTGACCTGTCCCCATTAAGCTCAGTGGGATGTAAACTCTGAAGCCTGGTGATAATTTAAATGCCCGCCTTGTTGAATATTTCACTGTTGATCAAGGCACACGTGAAAGAAGAGGATCAATCATTTTGTGGAGCTATGCACAAACCATCCTGTGAGTGGCGTCTTGTTTTGATGTCTTGAGTGGGTGGTGTGTGGGTCACGGGTTGGTACCTGGGCAAATATTAGAAACTCCACCCTCCCCAAAATCCTCCCCTTTTTGTTTAATTCTGACATCAGCTAAGATCATGTACCATTCTGGGATGCAACAGACTCCAAAGTGATGTTGAATCGGTTCCCAAAAATGACAGGTTTGAATGAAATGGAGAGCGGATTCTTACTATCTGGGACAAAGGGAGGTTTTCATAAAAGTTCTCACAAAGAAAAAAGGGGTGGGAAGGAGTACGCATTCTAACTAAATTCTCTGCCTTTGTAATCATCATATCAAAGAGCCAATTCAGATACTGTCCTGCAATATAATTAAAGTCATCACACCACACAGGCAACATTACTTTAGGAAAAGCAACTACAAACATCTCAGTGACATACAAATTTCATTTAATGCCTCACAGGAGAACTCAAGTAGTAATGTGTATAAGTTGCAAAAGACCTCCGGTGTTCATGAATGTCAGTACCGCCACTGCTTTGAAAAGTTACTCTTTGTATTAGTTCCAGAATTCCCCAGTAGCAATGTCATTAAGAGCTATCATTCTAAAAATTACAATTTCCAAGGAACAACCAAAAGTAAACTTATATGTGACTGTCACATCAGTAGTACAGTATTTATTTGCTTTCTCCAGTGAAGGAACTCAAGGCAGCGAACAATAGCTAAAAATAACATATATTTAAAACCATAATAAATTAAGATATTCATATTAAAATGCAGTAAAACCTAAATAATGCTTTAAACCCCCACTAATTTAAAACAACTAAAAGAGACTGAAAACAACATTATTTTTAAAATGTTTCACCTACTAGAAACATCTGGGCATTAAGATTAAAAGCCAATTTTTTAAAAGGAAGGATTGTAAAGAGGAGGCTACCCTAGCTCCATGTGGGACAGAATTTGATAGATGAGGAGAAGCCACTTAAAATGGCCTCTCTTGATTCCTCACCAAACATGCCTATAAAGGTGATGGGACCAAAATGACATTTCTCCCAAAGATCTCAGAGACTTGGGAATATTATATAGGGAGATATTGGGACTTCCCACACTGGACTTTTTAGACCATTAACAACACTTTGAATTGGGCTTGGAAATGGACTGACAGCCAATTAAGTTGTTGTAACAAGGGAGATACATGATCCCTGGAACTGGCTCCATTGAGTAGTCTGGCTGGGGCATTTTGAACCAGCTGAAGTTTCCAAACCATCTTCAAAGGCAGTCCCATGTAGAGCACATTTCAGAAATCCCAGCAGGATGTAACTAAATGAAGTCAGACATTTCCAAGTTTAACTGTGCTTTAACTGTGCAAATGCACTCCTGGACACAGCTAAGCGTACCCAAGCTCAGGTATGACTCCAGGAGTAAAACCAAGCTCTGACCCAGAGTTTTCAGGGGGAACATAACGCTGTCTAACATGGCATAATCCCTGCCCCCACTGATGTAGCACGGGAATGACCACTTACATTGGTTTCATGTAAATGTTAAGTTGCATGCAAGACAGAACAGAATGCTGAGTAATATTATAGGTCAAAGGCCAGGTGTCAAACAGGAATCCACCAATATCATCTTTTCAGTTTGCCCCTCCAGGAAGGATCAGAAGCCAGAGCAGTGCCTCAGAGTCCCAACCCAGTGAGAGGACCAAGAAGGATTCATTAGTTGGTTTGGTATTGAAAGCTACTGAGAGGTCCAGCAGAACCAACAGGGACACACTCCCCCGTCAAGTTCTTGGGAAAAATTGTCCACCAAGGCAACCAAAGTTGCATTTGTCCCATAATCAGATAATCCATTTCATGGAAAGCCACCATACACTGTAGGACTTTGCCCAAAAATGAAACACCGGAGACTGGCCAATAGTTGTCCAATATAGTGGTGTTCAGAGATGCAGGTGTTGCGGGGGGGAGGCAAAGAATTGTTATAATTGCCTCCATTAGACAACATGGAATTATGCCTTGAGTCAGAGAAGCATTCACCACTCTTCTTAGAGAAGAGCCTCCTGGCACAGTGGTTAAACTGCTGCCAAAACTGTGCTCACGACCTGGGGTTCGATCCCAGGTAGCCGGCTCAAGGTTGACTCAGCCTTCTGTCCTTCTGAGGTCAGTAAAATGAGTACCCAGCTTGCTGGGGGGGGGGCAATGTGTAGCCTGCATAGTTAACTTGTAAACCGCTCAGAGAGTGCTTGAAGCA